ATTTACCTGCACATGTTGTATGACATGACAAATTTGTTTTATTTTTAAATACTGGTACTTAGTGGTAGTCAAGGGACTTGGAGACAGCTGTACTTAAATACCACAAGTATTAATTAACAATAGATAACTGTTAGCATGCATATATGGTCAGAAAGGGTCACCTATAAATTGGTTGCATTTTATTTATTGCTGCAAGTCAACAAGTGAAAAATGTGATTGTCTGTAGCCATCTATCTAGAAATACATCTTATTAACCCTCCAAGAGAGCCGTTAATTTTCCTGCCAAAATCTTGGTGTGACATTTTGCCTGTTTCTATAAATTTTTCTATAATACTTGTTGACAATTTCTTTTTTTTTTGAGAAATAAAAAAACACAAATTTGTCAAAAAATTGTAATACAACATACACTTCAAATCAAGCAATTATATGTTTACTGAGTTTGATTTACATTTCTATAAGTATTAGTATGCTTTTAAACAATGACAATTTTTTGCAGAATAATTAATGGTTTGAAGTTACTCTTAGCTATTGGTGGCGAAAGAGACACAATTTTTTTAAACCAAATCTACGTACCTTAACATCAATGTCTATAATAATAATAACTTTATTGCATTTTTAGAAATACACAAAAACATTACATATCATATTTTTCATTTCTAACTAAGAAGGCATTGTGTATAAATTCTCCTACAGATTCTATAATATTTTTATCTGTGCTTTGCATAGTGATAGATATTTAGGGCATTCTTTGAAAAAATGTAGTTCACCTTCTATTTCTCATTTTGTCTATGACATTATACTACAAAGAGTCACAGTTGTTGTGTAGTACTTGTATAATTGGTTCAGATTTCTAAAATTTCATAGATGGGATATTTTACAGGTGTAGTTTTAGAATGGGAGGTACATGTACCATAAACATGACTTGCAACTACTGTGGCACTGTGATTCATTCTAAATAGAATTCGATCTTACCAGGATACTTGTCTAAACCAAATACATTTGTCTTAAAAATGACCTCCTTTAGACTGAATATTATCAGTTTAGAACGAAAATTTCACTATAATAACAAGGCTGTAGCAAAATATAATACTCCCAAATTTGGACGTGCTTAATACCAGTACTTAAAAACTAATTTGAGATCACTAATACCCTGGTATGCACAATGTGTAAAGCCCTACGACCATATTTGCTCTGTTAGAAACGCATCTCTAAATAGTGCACATGAAAAAAAAAAAAATATATTTATTGTATGCTAGATCATTAAAATACATGGACACAACTTCCACCATTGCGTGACTAATAAAGCATACTGTAGATTGCATTGATAAAACCAAGCCGAAGGGCTAGTACAGTATAAGTGGCTGAAAAAATATTCTGTTGTTGCTATATCACAGATGTTATTTCACAAAATAACAATACAAGTATACAGAAAAATAATATTTCTACATAGATGTGATAAGGCAGGTAGATATTATCCTAATGCGGACAGATAAAACTGCAATGATAAATCAGTATCAGCTCGACAACATTACATGGTTATACGCAGATAATAAATGAAATGATAGAAATATAATAGAGCTTGATTGCAAAATCAATACAGATGTTATTTGCAAAGGATTTTTTCAGCTACATGACGTACATACTGTGAAGAGGATTTTATGGCATTAGTAAAGACATGTTGTAAAAGACACTGAAACTCTGTGGCATAGGACCGTGAGAAATTTTTTCTACAAAAATTTTCTAAAATTCACAAGAATTTGTCTCGCACAGAATCAAAATTAGAGCTGTTTACAATATGTAAAGCACTGTAAGACACTTGATGCAATTTTGTAGTTGTAAAAATATTCATTACATGTAGATGTGTATGCTCCTTACTGCGTCACAGAGGCTTACATATATGTTAAATGTTATCCTCATAAAATTGCCCTTTCATCATTTAAATGGTTGAAAATTTAATGGTTTTCCTGTATTTGTCTGGTGAACATAATTTACGAGCATTTAAAAACTTGAAATCATGTGGAAACAATTACCAGTGTTACCTTGATCACAAACTGTGTCAGTATCCAAATTTAAACAAGTTATTGCATTATTACTTTGACTAAAATTAAATATATATACATTGTACACACAAAAGCATGTTTTTTTTGTTTTGTTTTTTTTTCGATACGGTATATTTAAATTTTCCGAAAAGTAATTTGCAAATGATGCATTGATTAAAATGAATGCAAATTATCTTCATGAAAAATAAAAGAACACATAGAACTCTGCACTATATTACAGTAATACTAGTACTTCCCACGTGAAACACAAATCCCGGACAAGATGATAACACCAATTTTACACGTTACTCAATTCGTTGTATTTTCACTACACACTACTAAGGATGTACGTCCATGAGTGTTGCAATGTTTTTTTTTGTTTCAATCATGGACGTACTAGAGATGGACGCTGCACGGTGATTCACATCTGATAAGACGCATCGTTTTTCTATTGTACTCATCTTAAATTTATGAATAGGCAGACGGACTTCCATCTTGGCTGAGTTGCCGCCCGATCTTAGTTTTGATTTTTCACGACAAGATTCGAATCTTAAATTCTATAATATATTGGGTCAAAAAAAATACAGACCTTGCCCATGAGCTGGTGCAATGTTAAGTTGTAAATCGAAAGTTGAACGCAGATCCGTATATTCTAGGCAAGTTTACGAGCATGTTTGTACCGATCTTCTGCATTTGTTAACAATTTTAATCTAATATTGCCAGTAAATCTCTAGTACGTCCATCATGTTTCAATCGTATACAATTTGCATTTCCCGCGGACAATGTACGAAATCACATTATTAAAACATCGAATAAATTCTCACCTTCACTTTGTTATTCGCGTTGATTTATTTCCGTCGATGCAATTCTGTCTCTTATATTGTCGTTCAAAAAACCCACAAAGTCCAAAAAGACGGGTCACAAAACGCCACAACAACGAATACAACGTACTACAGCTGGGTGTTGATGATTTTCATAAACAAAGCATGCTGAGGTCAAAGGTTACCAGGATCGATTTAGTTCTTCGTCCAATGAGATGCTTTGTATTAAAAAGCCAATTGATTGTGTAAGTGAATTATACTATTATAATAAGAACAACAATTATGCCGAAACAGCATCACATTGTTCAACTCAAGTTTTTTAATTTATTATATAGTTATTCAAAACTGTTGAATTTAACAGTTTATTTTTTTATTTTATTTTAATTAATTGTTATTAATAAAATAGAATGCCTGGAGAAAAACACAACGTGCGATTGGTTAATCAAATCACGTGCTCAAAGGGCTATCCCAAGATGGCGTCTCTCTGCAGTAGAAGTGAGGTCTAAAAATCGTGCCAACTGCTATCGACTTCTAGCGTTACGTACGCTGCTAGTCTCGTGTTATTACTGTGAACCGCATGGTGTCGTATTCCTTATAACGATATATCTGAATTGCACTCTGATCGCCCACCCGAAAGCAAATTGTCGCCGTTAAAATGCCACGAGAAGGTCGAAGCTACCGCGGAAGAAAAAGGTACAGTTCGGCTTATTAAAACATGGTTGTTTGATTTCTTGTTTGTATTTCGTATCCCAAGTAACATATAATAATACTCGTTCAGATGAACCGATAATCAGAGAAATACCTATAATAACGAGATATTGGGCTCAACCTCCTCTTAATAATAATAATGATGGCATTAGTTTCATTTCATCACTGTTACTAGAAGATTTCATTTAGATGTTAGTAAGCAAAGTAACTCATTCAGCATACACATACTGCTGGGTAAGATATGATTAAAACAATGGCCAAGAAGAGTGTGCCGGTGAAAAGGAGACTCTTATAGAATATTTAAACCAGGACCAACTGGGTATTAATGAGACTTTTAGAATGATATAATTTTACCAAATGCCACAAACTCAAATGTTCTCTTTGATAAAGTAGTGAAAACTCAAAGCCATACATGCATGTTCAGTAGTGTTTCATCTAACAATCCTAACTGCCATAAAGCTACCCATAAAACAAGATCGAAAAACCAACAAATCAAAATCACTTGCTCAAAATTACGGGTAGGATATGTAAATTGCAGAGGGTCCTAAAAAACAGTAAAACACCAGTTGTAAAAGGTTACAAATGTTTTGGTAAAAACAGTAAATTAAAATTAAAAAAGGGCGGTGGGGGAATCGGTTTTTTAGTTAAGAATAATTTCCAGGTTATAGACAATATTTTATTCCAATCACAGGATGATGATATAGAAAGATTATGGATCAGATTAAAAGTAGGTGTAGGGCAAACATTGAGTTTATGTGTGGTATATGTTCCCCCAGAACAATAATAATGGTAAAAAATTAATTTCATTAATGAATAATTTTGTCCTTTCATTGCTCAATAATAGTGATATTAACATTGTTAAGGTAGCGGGACTATTATTTGCATACTTGTTTTCATCTTCTAATTGTGACCAAATGACTACAAATAGACCCGGGAAAGTATATATTTTTAGAATCGCCAGTCTTCAAGCTTTTCACAAGTGTATTTTGCATGCCCGTATCTGCATTCTACGACACGTTACTCAACTAAAAGTGAAAAATTATGTTTTCTGTAAAAAAAAATAATTACGCATTTATGCTGGCGATAAGAAGTATTTTTTTCACTTTTCCTAGTTGTTCAATAGTCTGGTA